TGGTGGAACTGCCTCTAAATTGGTCAGCGGCTTTTTGTAAGTTCTCCCTAATGTTAGAGTGGGCTTTTTAGTCACTCAATTGACTTTGAGTCGCCACGGGGCCTGTAAGTGACACCTACAAATTTACTGCTTCACCAAGCTAGGCTTGGGTTTTTTTTTTTCTTTGGCTATCTCCCCAGAAAAAGCTACACAAGAAGTGGAATAAAAAAAAAAAAAAAAAGAGACCTGGCACATTGGAAATTTGGCATTCAATACAGCAGTGTTGAGAGAGGGGACCTTTGGGAAGTGACTGGGTGGTGAAGGTTCTGACAGCATAGATTACGGGGTTAATAAGGTATTAAATGAGTGGCTTTGTTATAAAAACTTTTTTTGTAGAGCTGGGGATAGAGTTCAGTGGCTGAGTGCTTTTCCTAGCTAGTGCAAGACCCTGGGTTTTTTCTCTAGCACCACAAAAATAAAATAATAAAATAAAATAGGGCCAGCCAGATGGCTCCGCATGGGAAACTCGTCAGCTGTTCAAGCCTGATGACCCAAGTTCAATCCCCAGATCCCACATAAAGTGGGGGAGGAGAAATAACTCCACAAAGTTGACTTCTGACTTCCACATGTTCACTGTGGTACCACACACACACATACACACACACACACACACACACACACACATGCACGAATGTACGCATGCACATGCACACGCACACACACATGCACAGGCACACTTTGCTGTTTGGCACACTTGCTTTGAGTTGCCATGTGGTTCTCTTTGTCGTGTTATATGTTGTAGCACTCTTCAGTTGCTTGAACTTTCTAGCCTCCAAAGACATTAGCTCAATAAACCTTTGCTGTTTTATAAATAGCCTCTGCTGTTCTGCTACAGCAACATAAAACAGACCATGACACCTGGTGATTAATTATTGGTACTATGTGCCTTGTAGATATTGTATTACAAATTGGTGATATCACATGAGCAACATCACAAGTGGGTCTATTCTAGGGAGCTTATAGCTGTGAAGTAAGTGGGGGAATTTCCAGAAATCAGGGGAAAGGGAGCCTCTTGCCTTGGAGGCTGGTTCCTCCAAGAATGGAAAGGATTCAGGGTATAAAGGAAAGAAAAACTTTTTACCCTCTTAAGCCTCAACTCTTCAGTGTACGAAATAAGATTATGATAGATAAATAGAAGTAAAGCATGTGTGTGTCTGTGTGTGTATGCCAGAGTCCCACAAAAAAAAATAACAGAGAAGGGCCAGGTAAATAAGGCTTTGTTAGTATCCTAATAAGGGAGTGAGGGCTTGGAGATTCTGGGTATGGAGTGGTGACGAATGATGAGAAAGGAGAAAATGAACTTGAAATAAGTCATGGAGGGTGGGGGTTGGGGAAGTATCTCAGAGGCAGAAGGTAGAACACTTACCTCACTTGCTAAGGCCATGGTGTTCAATTCCTGTACACACATGTTCTCTCAGGTAATAAAAGTTGCCTCTGAGGATGCCTCAGAAGTGTAAGCAGTTGTGGACTGAAGACTACAGCTAGTAAAGGGCTCACCTGGTGTGCATGAAGCCCCTGGCTCTACCTCAGCACTGAAGCAGGCATGCAAGTAAACACCTCTAATCTCAGTGCTATGGAGAAAAGTAGGACAAGTTCAAGGTCATCCTCAGCTACAAAGTGAGTTGAGGCTAGCCTAGGTGGTATGAGATCTTATCTCAATAAAACATGAAAGAGAGAACAGGAGAGGGAGAGAGTTAAATTGACAACATATCTTTTTTCTTGTGAGGGAACCTTCCCAGGCTGATTGGATTTCCAGGCAAGGGACTCATGACAACATGATTCCTTTATGGGGATGACTATATTTAGGCCAATAGGGTACTTCAGAGAAAGCTTCTGCCCACACTTGGGAGCAGGTAAATGAAACAAGAGACAGGAGGGCCTGGTGGTCAGAGAGACATTAATTTTGAGGCTGCTTTCATAATCTGTAGTTCAGTGTGCCATACTGGCTCATTAGTTGTTGCTGAGTTTTGGCCAACTTGATATAAGTTAGGGTCATCTGGAAAGAGAGAACTTTGATAGAGAAAATGCCTCTGTCAGATTGTCCTCCAGGCAAGTCGATGGGACATTTTCTTAATTTATGATAGAGATATGAGGGCCCAGTCCACTGTGGGCCATGCCATGGGCTGGTGGTTCTGGATTGTGTAAGAAAGCAAGCAGGGTGAGGCAGTAAGCGGCATTTCCCCATGGCCTCTGCTTTAGTTCCTGCCTGCATGTTCCTGCTTTGAGTTCCTGCCCTGACTTCCCTGAGTGATGGAATGTGATTGGGGCACAGGAGCAAATACACTCTTGTACGTTGTTTTGGGCCCTGGTGTTTATCACAGCAATAAAAGCCAAAACTAGAACATATGCCAAAGTGCCACACTTTGGTGAGCCTTTTTCCTGAATTCCAACATGGATGTCTGGTTTTGAAATAAATGAAAGAAGGTATGGCATAAGGTTCTGTGAATCTGTGAAAAGAAAATTCTATTCCTTGTTCCTCCAACTTGCACCTCTAAAGGAAGAGCTGCTGCTGCTTAGGAGAGATGGGAGCACACTGGCAAAAATCCCCAAAGCATCTGTTTCTTAGGAGATTCGTTAACCGTGAGTGTGGACTAAGAGCAGAGCAGAGGATTAGGTAAGGTGTCAGAGTGCCTGAACATGCTGTCAGTGTCAAAAAAAGCTCACAGTGAGGATTAGACGAACTTGTTTTCTTTCCCTGTGTCAGTGGTGGCAGGGACTTACAGATAGCTCCACATTGGCACCCATAAAAGCTTGAGAAGTTCCTTTAATCTTTTAGTGATTTTTTTTAAAATACATTTTTTTTATTTATCTGTTTATTTATGTGCATTGGTGTTTTGCCTACACATATGTCTGTATGAGGGTGTTGGATCTCATTTATGAGCTACCATATGGATGCTAGGAATTGAACCAGGGTTTTCTGGGAGGGCAGCCAGTGTTCTTAATCACCAAGTCTTCTCTTCAACTTCATCTTTTTTTAATAGGGGTCTTGATTTAGGTAAAACTTGATCCTTTTTCAACATAGAAAAGAATTTAAGGCTAGTTGAGCAGTGGGAGTGTACACCTTTAATCCCAGAACTCCAGAGGCAGAGGCAGAGGTAGGGGGAATCTCTGCAAGCTCAAGGCTAGCCTGGTCTACAGAGCTAGTTCCAAGACAGCCAAGGCTACACAAACAAACCCTGTCCTACACAAAGAGGACTCTGCCCCCCTAAAAAGGAAAATTTATGGCTAACCAGTATGAAGCAGAGTTGAAGTTTATTAAATATACTTTGATACATATTTTTAGGAATGTGAATTAAGCGAGACACCGAAAGAATAAGAAATAACCAAGTGTTTACATAACATTCTCAAGACAGAGTCACAGTTGTCATAGCATTAGCCCGTATAAAACGTTCTGGTGGCTTTCAAGTTATATCTTAACAGGTTGCTAGGAATTGTTTTCATTCTTTTCTCTCTTTCTGGTAAGTGATATTATAGGGTGGCTCCAGATGTGACTGTGTCAGAAGTATAATCTAGTAAAATATAACCATTGAGCCACTAGGGTTGCATAGTGGGGGAAAGGCTAGGATATGTCTTTCTTACTGTAAATGAGAATTTCTATGACATTCCTAGAAACTTGTAGGTTTACAGCTGGGGAGAAAGACCTTAACTAGTTGTTAATTGTGTTGGAATGTTAATTCTCAGCTGGTGGGAGGCTTTAAACAGACTCCAGAATGAGGGCCTCTTTTCTCTTCCCATGTTCCCATACAGTTTCATCTTTCTGTCCAATGTTTGTCCCTATGTTCCCAAAAGGTACTTGCAACCTAAAACCAAGGCTGGAAAGAACCCAGAAACACCATTCCCATCCCACCACCCTCGAGATCTTTTCTATTGAGGCACACTGAAACTGGGAGAAGAAATTTCACAGGCAAATGTCAAGTTACAATTATTAGAAGGCTCCAGAATAAGGATTCTACCAGTACCGATTCTGGAAGGAAGGCTCCCAGTTGAGAAGCAGGAAGCAAACAAAGATGCAGATAAAGATGGACGCATTTGAGAAATATCCGAAGGAGAAACAATTTCGTGAGGGGACAGATTGGGGCGAAAGCGGAATTGGAAGGCTGAATCAAAAAGGGGCTGGGGCAAAGTTAGTTTCTGAGGAAGGAATTTTAACATTAATGGGGGCAGTCTTATGGCAGCCAGAGTGATGAGGATTAAAAACAACTGCAACAATTTTCGGGCAGATGAGATGGCGCAGGTCGTCGACAACCTGAATTCAACCTCCTGCAAGTTGTCCTTTGATCTCCATAAGAGTGCTGTGGCGCGCACACCCAACACATACACAGAATAAATAAATACATGTAATTTAAAAATGTTAATCTCTGCATCTGCCTCACCCACAAAGCTACCTCAGTGGTTCTAAAAAAAAAAAAAAAAAAAAAAAAAAAAGGGGGGGGGGGGTGTTTCTCGCATCTCTACAAGGCTTTATGTACATAAAGCCTTGCGTATCACCTTCACAGCTCGGGGGTGAGGTTTTGCTCTCTCCCATGCACTATTAATGTTTCCACTAAAACCTTTTCCCCCTCCTCTCTCCTTTTGTGCCTTTTTAGCGCTAAAGGGTCTTTTCAACCCTCTATGTGCTCGCCTGCGCCCAGCCTGAGAACTACACTTCCCGCGATGCCGCAGGAGCCGCATCCGTAGTTCGGGAATTTTGTGGTCCTAAACGCGTTGCAGACTCCGATCCGCACCGAATCCCGCAGACCAAACACCGACCCTACCCACGCCACAGCCTCGACTGAGTTTTTTTTCCCTTCCCCTTTCCTGCCAAAGGCTTAGCTTCCGTTCCAGCTCCAATTTCCGATGCCATTCTTCTCTTGGAAAAGCTTGGGAGGGAGAAACACAAACCAAAGCGGAGCGAGCAAGGCGCATGCGTCCACGGTACCCGCTCCCGCAGCAGAGAGGTCGGTCAGTCTCCCTGCGAAGCCGCCCCGCGCATGCGCAGAGTATAAACCAACACCCCGGGAGTTAAGGCGCCGGTTTGGTGGCGCGTTTTCTAGCGAAGTCGCACGTGAAGGATAGCGGTGGCCGTAGCAGGGTGAGTGCGAGCCGAAATCCAAGCTGTGGATACAACTTAAGGGACAGATTTGCAGGTGTTCGCAGGGCGGAGCCGCGAGGCCTGTGAGCCCGGGTGGGGAGGGGTCGAACTTGGAGCGTGGGACTTAGCCAGCCTGGGACCCGGATCTTCGTTGCTATGCGACCGGGGGCATTGTTACTAGGTAACCCAGGAACGGAGTGTTTCCCGGAAGACGCGGGTTCGAGCTCCGAGGTCCAGTGGAGGAAGCAGCTGCCAGATTTGGGGATGAGGCCAGTGCTGAGCCGCACACCTTCCCCAGCGCCATGGTCCAGCCTCCTGCCACCCCAGTTGGAGCTCCCCTCTGGGTACCCCGACCTCATGGGCCTTTCGCGGGGGATGTGCCGTTCGAAATAGCACACGCTACTGACACCCTGTAGCCTACAGTCTAGGCCTTGGGAAGGGAGCGGCAAGGCTGCCCCCCTTTGCAGTCACCCTGCCCCCCAAACAGTTGCTGGGTAACAGCTGTCAGGGGTTTAGCTAGGGCTGCTTCCGACCTGCCAGAACGCTGACTTCATTCTCCTTAGTGGTGACTTCGCCACGTTTAGGCCCTTCCACTTCAGCTGTGCTTCTCATGTGGCTGTATTATATTTGGATCGAGTATTCAAATAACCTCTCTCCCCCACCTCTCCGTGTCTTTATGTCTTACACTGTGGCTTTTTGGCAGGGAGCAAGCACTTGTTAGTCATTCTGGGCTAGGTGCTGGAGATACCAGGAAAAGCTAATGTCAAGTTAGACTGAGAGTTGCTGGGAGGCCATGGGACAAACCGTGAACACAGCGCTTGCACAAATGACTTAGCTTCTCGAAGCAACTCTTAACCCAGTTTCAACAAGATTTACATTTGAGGAGATTGAAACTCAGATAGGTTAAGTAACAGGTGCAAAGGTAGTGGCCGCTAATTTGTGATAGAATTGAGCGTGTGTTCTTTGTACAGAGAGCTCTTAGGAAGCTTTTCTTAAAGTAGACTATTCTCAGGGTTCCTGACCTCTGCAACCGCTGTCTGATTGTGCCTCAGGAATCCTGGGGAGCTTTACAAACAAAACAAAAAGGCTGAGCTCCTCCCTGGGAGAGTCTGAGTGGGTTGCCTGGGTGGGGCATACATCCTTGTTTAACAGGCTGTGCAGGCTGGCCAGATGGGCAATGCAGAGTTGAGGACCGCTGATCCACAGAAGGGACAGTTGGGGCCAGCAGAGGGCACCAAGTTAGTTCCTGCCCCTGTAGTGATTTATGAGTGTGAGAAGAAAAAAGAAGAGGAAGGAGTGCTGACTTAGGGGGGAGTGTGGACAGCCCCACCCTACCCTGGCATAGCAAACCACAGCTGAACATATAGCGACTTCTCACCAACATAGTAAGTAAAGCAGTTTCCCCGGCTCAGACTGTCCCTGCCTGAGCTGAATTGCAGCTGTTTGAGCAGGAGTGGCCAGTCCCATTGCTGTCTTTGGTAGTTCCCTCTTAATTTGTTGGTGCATAACTTGCAAACTCAGCAGGGGTCACCTGGTACAATGAGGGCTTTTCTTGGGAGGCTTGGGTATCTTCTGTTTTGAACTTAATGATAGTAGGTGCAACTGTATGTTCCCGACGGCAGAGAGCAGGTGTTATCAAGGCAGTGTGGAAGTATGGGACAAGCAAAAGAACAAGCCTGTGCTCCTGAGCTTAGGGATCAAGTCCCACTTCTACTCTAAAGGGGGCATAATGATAACTATAAAGATAATTAGGGGAAAACAAAGATGATTAGGGCTGGTGAGATGTTCCATGGGGAAAGGCCCCTGCCACTAAGCCTGATGAACTGAATTTGATCCCTGAGACCCACATGGTGGAAGGAGAGAACCAACTTGTTCAGGTTTGTCTTTGGCTTCCACACATGCACACATACACACTGTTCTTTTGTTTTGTAACTCAGTGGTAAAGTGCTTGCCTACCTGATAGTCCTGTTTGATTTCCATTTATACACACACACACACACACACACACACACACACACACACACACTGTCATAAGAATTAAATGAGGTAGGTAGGCAATAAGCACTCTGTAAATTATAAATCACTACAAAAATTTGATAATGTAAACATATTACTGCTTACTATTGAGTACCTTCTATTTGGAGAAGCAAAAAAAGTTTCAGACATGCTTCCATCTTTCAAGAGGCCAGAGCTGTTTGTCTTTTAGTGACTATAGCATCTTTCTGCATAAATAATTTGATGAGGGCTGGTATGTACTTCAGTTGGTAGAGTGCTTGCCTTTATATACAAAGCCCTGGGTTCAGTCCCCAGTGCAACATACAGGTGGCACACACCTGTTAACTCAGTGTTTGGGAGGTGAAAGCAGGAGGTCAGGAGTTCAAAGTCATCACACTGGGCGATATCAGGCCCTGGCTTAAACAGCAGCAAAACTGTAAAGTTGTTAATGAGGCATGAGGAAGCATGATGGTGGTGGGTCAGATTCATATTGCCTGGGCTTCGCTCAAACAACGAAAGAGGAAGGGGGCGAGAGAGCGAAGAAAAGGAAGAGAAAGATGAAAAAGGCAGTTTGTCACTGACCACCTCTTAAGAGGACCAGTGTTCTCCAGAATCCTGTGAGATTCAGTTCCTGGCGCACATCAGGTCACCTGGCAGAACAACACTGGCCTCACTGTGGAGGCTTCAGCCCAAGGTCCCCTGGGCTGGGGCAGATGGCTGCTCCAACCTGAAGCTGGCACAGAGAAACAGCAGGCTGCTGTGGGAGTTGCAGCTCACATCACTCTGACCTTCTGGTAGGGAAGAGACGACACCTGATTCCTCCTGTTGGAGGTCCTTGGATATAGGATCCAGCCCAGGATAAGCAACCCTGCTCTTTAGGGCCTCATCATGATCATAACACAGATAGCTTCGGAACTAACCCACGTTTTCTACATCTCCCATCAGTGGTAGGCAGGAACCATCTGGCTCTTGATTTGTGCCAAGGAGTTGAAGGCTTTCCCAGCCTCGGGTTCTTCTTCTTGAACTGTGTGTGTCTTGCAACTCCACTTGACCTTACAGGCCCTGGGAGGCTCTATCAGGTCTGCCAGCTGTTTCTGGTACAGAAGCTACCCCAAATGTAGTATTTTTAGAAGCCTTTTTTTTTTTTTTCTTGAGCCTTCTCTGCCCAAATGGGAACATATTTCTTTACCCTCTTTGCTATCCAGATGGCTCTAGATTTGTGGCCAACTCTCCCAGTACCTTGGTAACCACAAACACTCCAAAACCTGTCCTCTCCTCCACCTTAGAGGCTTGTCTCAGCCTCCACTCATCAGCCCTGAACCACAGACACTCTCTGGAGCTGCAGGTGCCTTTTGGAGCCTGAGGGAGAACGGGATTTGCTACAGCCTTTTGACATTACTCCAGAAGAGTGGCAAAAAAATGAAGATGGGCCTGCAAACATTCTCCTTGCCCGAGCATCACCTGCAAGTCGGTGCTTGCTGAGTCTTAACTCGTCTATGGCATCCTGTTATGGACAGATCAGAGCACAAAGCACAAAGTGCTTGGGTAAATTTTCACCGTAGTTCTTTGAGATAGTTGGTAAATGCCAAGTGTGTTTTAGCTTATGGATACTCCATTATATGACTTTATAAGTAACTCCTAAATTGAACACAGTACAGGAAAGTGGCTGTGGACAAAGAAGGGGTGCGCGATATAGATACACCTGAATTCACAACTTGGTTTTCCCCCATACTGCCTATTCCCTGATGATGAAATCATCATCAGGGAATAACAGTGCCTACCTGATAAGTACCTGTGAGATTAAGATAAGTAATGCACGCAAGACCAGTCCTGGTGTCTGCTTTTTAACTCATGATAATTTTTCCTTAACCCTTTGCTTATTTTAGAAGTAGAAAGTTCAGGTTATCCTGTCAGTGGTTTGACATAGTGCACATTTGTGTGTGTGTGTGTGCGTGCATTTGGGAGGCAGAGGCAGGCGAGTCTCTGAGTTCAAGGCCAGCCTGGCCTGTAGAGTAAATTCCAGGACAGCCACTGCTACATGGAGAAACCTTGTTTAGAACAAACAAACAAAAGCAGAATATTGATCAGTCTGTCTGTCTATCTGTCTGTTGTTTTAAGGATTGAACCTAAGGCTACGCAAATGCTAAGCTAGCCATCTGTCACTGAGCTACCTGCCCCCGGCAGCAGTTAACATTTTAAGTATATGATACAGCTTCTTTACTGTAATGGGGGGCAAAAGAGTGGGAAATTACCTTGGAAAGGATAACCCCTTAAAGAATGGTCACATTGTATAGGTGTGACCAACCAAATTACCAGTGATCGGAATCAACTCGGTTGTTAGCCACCCTTCCTCCTCAGAGGCTGGAGATGAAATGTAATTACCCTTCTAATCCTGTGGTTATCTGGGGAGGGTTCTAAAAATGGTCTTGTTATCATAAAAGGTGCGTTGGAAAGGGCTGTCTTTCACCCTTCATTCTCTGAAGATGTTATAGGAAGCCAGGCTAAAAGACTAATTACGTTGATAAAAGGTAGCCTTTTTGTTCTTTCCATGTATGAAATTATATGAGATGTGCGAGCGCTGAGCCAGGAAGGGTGGATGAAAACCAAACTGCTGTGGTGCGTGTACATGTGTGTGTGTGTGTATGTCTGTGTGTGTACACTGTATTATAACCATTGACACAAAATGGCCTCAAGTTCCCACTCCCAAATAGGTAAAGGAATGTGATGCAGCTTCTGGGTCGTTAAGTACCAGGGCCAAGCTGAATGATAAGATGTCCAGAGCAGAAAGGATCACTTGCTTGCCAAGGATAAGAACAGAACAAACCACATAGGTAGTCACAGAAATCTTATGACTGTTGAGTGACAGTAGAGGAGAGACAGTTTGGCCTTAAAGAATGGTTTTCAACTTTGGATGGTAGAATCATTGAGATGCTCGTGTCCAAGACCAGGTCACACAGAGACAGTGCCATCAGAGCCAGTGTGCTTGCACATTGGCACTTTGTGCCACTCTCAGGTAATGTCACTGAGCAGCCCCATTTGATAGCCCATTAATACTCTGACCCCTAGCAAGGGTAGGATTTGGAAGCAGAAGGTTGGGTTGAAATCCTCTAAGCCCAGGATCTTGCACAAGTGCTTCTCTGTACCTCTGTTCCCTCGGGTGGGGAGAGAAACCCTCTTGCATAATGGCCCCGCAGAGATACTGTTGCAAATGCAGTCATTCTTGTATCTCTATTAACAGAGTGCTTTATTTTACATTGGTATACATTGTGATCCTACTTGTGTGCTATTTTTAAGTTACTTTTTCCTATCAGCTTTGGCTTAAGTACTTTATAAGCTTCTTGGGATGAAGCCTTTAGAGACTTATAATTCATTCATGTCCATGGTGCCTAAAATGTAGAGACAGGCCTTCAGGTTTCAGAACTGGAGGAACAGATTACAGTACGATCTTGGCCATGGGAAGGCATGGAATAGTACTTGCTGGTGTATTGATCTGGTGCAGAATACAGAAGAGGAAGCTGTGAATCAGATGATTGTGACCAGCTTAAATCAAAAGTCGTGGTTTACCTTTTTTTTGCCAAACAGCCCTTTTTAGGTTTGTCTGGGATGCTTGCTATGGGCCAGGGGTGGAGAAGGGGCCTGAGATGAGCTGGGAGAGTGAAAGTGTCCATCAGGTCTGGCTCACTGCTTACCCTATGTCCCTCTCTTGACAGACACAAACATGGTAGACTCAGACAGCAGTCCATCATGGGGCAGGCGTCTGTTCAAAGCCGTCCTAATGGTCCTAGTGGCTCTTCTCCTCATTCACTCAGCATCATCTCAGTCCCATCGAGACTTTGTCACCCCTGGCCAGCCGAAGAGAGAGGCCTCAGCTGATATTTTGACCCAGATTGGCCGATCTATAAAGGAGACTCTGGATACCTGGCTGGGGCCAGAGACCATGCACATGATTTCAGAGGTAAGGAAGTCTGTGCCTGCAGTATCTATTTGCAGAAAGAGAAGGAGAGACTGTTAATGCCACCTCACCTTGCCACCACACCCTCTCTGTCCTAGTCTCTGCTGCAGAGAGAGCCCCACCTTCTACAAACACAGCCTTGCAGTCCTGCCTCTTGCTGGTTGGTTGTTTGATTCTTGCCATCTGGCCTTTTCGAACCGCCCCGTCTTTTTCCAGCCTTTGCCCATTTGGCCAGAAAGGCTTCAAAATGAGCTACCCTTACAAACTCATGTTAGTGGCTTCCAGTAGCATCTGGCTTGATCTGTGTCAGACCTTGCATCTTGAACTGGCAGAGCACAGGATCTGAATCTAAGTCTTCACCTGTGAAAGTGATGTGGGGCTCATGAAGGTCCTTTGGCAGGGTTGTCTCTTCCACCCAGCACCTTTTCTATTATGGTGTCCCATCCTTCTGATAATTCATACCAAAGTGCCAAGCCAGTGGTTTATAAAAAGCCACAGGATAGGGCTGGGAAGATGACTCAGTGGGTCAGGCACATACTATGCAAGTGTGTAGACATGAGTTCAGATCCTCAGAACATATGTGAAAACTGGGCACGGTGTGCATGTCTGTAAACTCCAGCAGTGGTAAGCGGGGTGCACCGACACAGGCAGATACCAGGAGCTTGCTGGCCAGTCAGACCAGCAGAAACCAGAGCTCCAGCTCAGTAAAAGACCCTTTCTCCAAAAAGAGAGGCTTCAGAGGCAGCTCAGCACTTGTTGCTCTTGCAGAGGACCTAAGTCTGGTTCTCAGCACCCACAGGTGGTACACAACTGACTGTAACTCCAGCTCCAGGGGACCCAACACCCTCTTCTGGCTTCCTTGGTTGCACCCCAACCCCCACATATTCATATTCATACACATACACAAAACACACATAAATAAAAATAAAATCTTTTTTTTTTTTTTTAAAGCAAGTGAAGACTTGAGGAAGGTACCCTGATTTCAGCCTCCAGTCTCCATGTGGGCCTTTGTGGGTACATATGCAGACACACACAAATCCATAATGTAGTATAGTTGATTGATTGCTTTTCTCTCACATCCCAGCCCTGCGTGGACATGCACCGTCATGATTCCCTCGGAGGCCTGGAGGCCTCCAGTTTCATAGGGTGGCTACCATGGGGATATGGTGATGTCCCCACTCACTCACAAGTGTACCTCCTGCTACCTCAAAGGCAAGTCAGATGACCAACTGACGTCTGTCTCAGACGTCCTGGATTCTGTGTCAGGGAGGAGACATGGCAGGGGAGCCCCTCTCTGGACTCAGAGTCCATGGACTTTCTACCCAGACCCATCTCCACTGGGGAAGAAACAGGTCAGAAATTTCCCTGAAGTATTGTCCAGACTGTGAGGACCAGGCAGGAGGAGAAGGGCCTCATTCATGATGGATTTGTCTTTTTCGCAGACCCTGTTGCAGGTGATGTGGGCCATCTCATCAGCCATCTCTGTGGCCTGCTTTGCCCTGTCTGGGATTGCTGCCCAGTTGCTGAGTGCCCTGGGGCTGGATGGTGAGTGGTAGAGAGTGATATAGCCAGGGCTGTGCCTGACCTGCTATTGATGAGAGTTTATCTGCATGGGGCTAGACATTCCCTCAGCTGTTTGCAGATGTCCCCAGAGGTACAGTGCATGTGGGGGGGGGGGTAGGTTATGAATTCTTACCACTGTACCAGGGGTTTACTTGTGTTGAACATCTTGCAAGGGCATAATATCTCCTCTTTGGTTAGCACAGCTCATGGAGGCAGGCACACTGTTCTCATATAATAAATAAAACTCCATCTCCACAAGGGAAGTAGTCTTCTAAGAGTCCCATAGCCAAGAGGCTGGGGTTTAAACCCTAAGCCTGTAAGAACGGCTATGCCTTTGTAAGGCTGTTGGTCCCTCCTGCTTAACCATTTCTTGCCCCTCTTTGCCTTCACCACATGTCTAGATTGCTGACTCTGTCCTTTTCCCTTTCAGGTGAACAACTCACCCAGAGCTTGAAGCTCAGCCCTAGCCAAGTCCAGACCCTTCTACTCTGGGGAGCAGCAGCCCTAGTCATCTACTGGCTGCTGTCCCTGCTCCTCGGCTTGCTCTTGGCCTTGCTAGGGAGGATCCTGGGGGGTCTAAAGCTTGTCCTCTTTGTGGCTGGCTTTGTGGGCCTGGTGAGGTCAGTGCCCGACCCCTCCACCCGGGCCTTGATGCTCCTGGCCTTGCTGACTGTCTTTGCCTTGCTGAGCCGGCTCACTGGCTCCAGGGGCTCAGGGACCCACCTGGAAGCCAAGGTGAGAGGGCTGGAGCGCCAGATAGAAGAGCTGCGTGGGAGGCAAAGGCGAGCAGCCAAGGCACCCCGGAGTTTGGAGGAAGATTGACAGGGATGTCCCACAATGACACCCTCACCATACCAAAGAGCTGAGCTGCTTCTGGGTCTCATGACCCTCCTTGCAGCCCCCTGCCCTTTCCTTGCCTTGTGTCTGAACCCTTGACATCTTTACCCTTGTCCTATCCCCTAGCTGAGAGAAGAGAACCTGTGCTCTGCAGGTGCTCAGCCAAGGGATGGCTCCTTGCTCTTTTTGCTCCCAGTCTGCCTCCCCAGGGCAGGTTGGAGGGGCCTCAGCTCTGGCTTCTGCTCTCAGCCAGCACCAATGCCACTGATCTCCGTGATGATTAATCTGCTGCCACCTGGCTTCCTTACAAAAGGCCTTCCCAGGTTGAAGCTCCTGTTTGACCACACCCCCAGCTCTTTTCCTACTGGACTCCCACCACACCACCATCCCAAGGCCCTCAAGGCTCTCACTGTCTTCCTCCTCATTGCACAGCAGTGGGGAGGGACAGGAGTTGTGAGACCTGAGGATAAGGGAGGAGGAAACAGGGTCCCAGAGGTCTGTGCATCTGGGTTCTGTTACAAGTGCCTTAGCAGGAGTCAACAGCACCCTTCCATTGCCCTTTGCCACACTGAATGTAGGAAAGTGCGCTGTGGCTACTTTGTGTTCAGTGAGAGCAGTTCCTTGCAGAATCCTGACTCCTGCAGCCAAAGCAAAGGCTAAGTCTCTGTCGCTGGGGCCCTGCAAGGCCTGTCAAATGTCCCTGGGGGATTTCAGGGACCTTGAAAAAGGCAGGAAGACCTGCTGTCTTGCAGTTCTCCTGTCTACTCTGCCATCCAGGAGCAACTGTTGATCAGATGCTGTGTCCCAGCAGCTGGGAAGAGCACAGCTTTGCCCTGATGTGTTCTACACAGCCCAGGAGGAGCCTGCCACTAACCCTCTCCACCGGGGCACTTGTTAGCTCTTGGCCTTGGCCTTTAAGGCCCTGGTGGAGGGAGGTGTCCTGTGCCAGGTCTAGCACAAGATGTGAAGAATAAATGCCCATTCTTACTGGTGAGATTTGATGTGGAATTATGGCTGCAGTGATAGATATTTTTATCAGCGCTTGGTTGGTTTTAAATAAAGTGCACGCTATTTTATTATCTTCTTCTGAATAAAATGTATTTACTCGAAGTCTCTCTGCTGCCAAACTCTCTTCGGTGGGGGCAGTCCAACCTTCTGCATTTCTAACAGGAAGCTGCTGGGAAGAAGGCAGGGCTCAGTAAGGCAGGCTGTACCTGGTACCCACCCCTCCAGGACTCTGGAGGGAGACATGCCCTCTCTTGTAAAACTTGCAGATCTGGCAACAGTGCTGGGGTTGAAGGTGCCCCTTCCCTCAGGGTGTAGCAGGATGCTGCCATGTTGCTGGCCTAGGGAGTTTGGAAAGACTGGCTTTCCCTCTCAGACCTAGAAATTTACTGCAACAAGTTTCTCACTGTGGTTCCACTGTTTTGTGGAAGGCCCAGGCATGTCAGTTTCTTTTCAGTCTTTAGGTTGCCATGGAGATGCCAGATCATCTTCTGGACCTCTCCCAACACCACCTGGTGGCAAGGCTGGGCAGGGACCTGAAGGCAGGTCTTCCTCAGAAGGGTGACTAGCCTGCACCCTCCACCCTTTGGGAGTCTCCCTGGGGCGAGGTTGGGCACAGAAAAAGCTGACTCCACGGGTGGCTCAGGGTTGTCACCTGGCCTGGTTTGGCCTCGCCTTTTCTGTGCCTGCAGCTCTGTTCCTTTATGTCTCTGATTTCTAGCCCTGATTCTAAAGAAATGCCTTTACAGGTTGGATGCTTATGGGAGGGCGTGAGGCAGAGGAAACATTTTTTTGGCTTTTGTTTTGTTTTCTCCTTGATCATCATCTTCCAAAAGAAATTCCAAAACTTATCTTATGCAACTTCCTGGCAGCGGCTGTCAATCTTCTCAGTCTCCAGGGACACCCTCTTCTCCCTGACCCTAGGGCACGGGTGCGCTCTGGGTTTTGGGATCCGCAGGGCACTAGGACCCGGCGGGGCGAAGGGGACAGCCCATGTGCCTGGTTCCCTCCCACCCCACTTCTCCCGCTCCATTGTCTGGGAACTGCTGCCGCGGGCGGGCGGAGCGGGGAACTGGCAGTCCGGAGCTGCCGGAGCGGAGCAGGCGCGGGAGATGCGTGGCCAGACCGCAGCTACCTGAGCCGCGCGCCTGTTACCCGCCTTCGGTGGGAAGGATGTGCGCCGCGATGGCCGAACTCGCGGCTGCGGCCCCTCGGGGGCCCCACGGTGCCTGGCTCTGCCTCCTGGTGGCCCTCGCCCTGGAAGTCGTGAGAGGTCAGCGGGAAGGGAGGGGAGGGGAGGGGCGACCCGGCCCGGCTGAGGCCACGCGCCGGTGATGCGCCCAAGCCTCTGGGCTCTGGAGCTAAACCTAGAACGATGCTCTGGAGAGATCCAACCTTGAGAAACAGGCTCCCAGCCAACAACCCTTTCGCCTTCCCTGTGCACCACCTGGATGCACCTACCTGAGCCTAAAGCTTTCTCACCCCCGTCCTCACCTGCCCGGTCCCAGCACCTCTGCGAGCCGCCTCTCCAGCCCGAGCGTCTAGCCCTGCTGCCCTGCTTTCCCGTGCACCACCTCTCCCTAACCTGAGGTTCTAGCCCCCAGCCGCCTGCCCTCCAGTCACAGGAATGAGACCCGAGAGAGGTGCGTCTCTCTCTCTCTCTCTCTCTCTCTCTCTCTCTCTCTCTCTCTCTCTCTCCCCCTATCCCAAGGAGATCTCCGACACTGGAGTCTTCTGGGAGAGCCCCAGCCTTACCTTTCCGAGCCCTTGTGGTTGTACCCATTACTGGGTAAAGGGTAGCAGCTACCGCGTGCCTGACATGAGCTGGGGCTGAAAGGTGGAAGATGCTATGGGAGACTGGGAGATGGTGAAGCACTCTCTACCCTCCTGCCCCCATCAAGAGGGCTGGACTCCCGGGGATGGGAGACCATGGGAGTCTGTGGGAGTCAAGCTACTGAGCATATTGTAATTATGGAAGCAGTGAATTAGAAGGTGGACCGCAGCCACCCCAGGGGTCAGCAGTCACTCCCTTGTTACCCTTAGGGATGTGGGGCGGGGTGGGGAGGGCCCTAAGGAAAGTCCTCATCCCAGTTCAGCTGCGGGACTGAGAGGGAGCTGGTTCCGGAACTTCTTTTAGGCACCTGCTCCTCACCCTGCAGACCCAGTGGGAGCCCTGATAACCCCACCTCAGTGAAGAGGGGAGAGCTTTGTCCTTCTGCCCACCAACAATCTCACTTCACGTGGGATCAACTGAGTTTACAAAGCCCTCCCCTGCCCATAGGGTTATGAAATACTCCCACTCCTGCTGATGAGGAAACCCAGGCTCCAAGATGTTGGTGACTGGCGCTAGGACCTAAAGTCAGCTCTCTGGCCTCCCAGGAAACCTCTCCAGGGAGAGTTGAGGGAATTCCAGAATGAGTAAGGTGGAGCTTGGGGTTGACAGGTAATTCAGGAGAGGCAGCAGAGCCAGGCACATGGAACGTGTGCCTGTGCCTGCGGTTGCAGGTATTCTAGAGGCGCGGGAGGATTGTTCCCGGCTTAGAAAAGCAGAGCTGGTACAAGGAGGGTCGGAGGGGTTAATGACCACAGAAGGCTTCCTTCAGGCTTTCCTGAAGAAAAGTGGAGGCACTTTACCCTGAGGGAAAGTGTCATGCTGGTGTTGCATTGGATGGAAAGGCTGGATAGCTTGGTGGTGAATTCCTTACTAGCCTCTCAGGTCCACCCCAGGTTGGAGAACCCTCATACATCATTTGCTAAATCCATTAAGTGGAATTTGTAGTAATAGAACTTAACCCGCAGGATTGCATGAGAACTGAAACAGTTTAATACGAGTAAAATTGACTCTTTTGGGGGGCTAAGTGCTTTAAAAATTGTTACTTTGGGGATTATAGAACAAATCAATATAGCCTTACTGGGCCTTTGTGCTTTTTTTATGATTGAATACTCCGTCTCCTCAGGTTTGTGGTTCCCACTGTTAGTGAGTGCCAGTAGCTTCATAGACCTCTTTGGTGCCCTCTCCAAGGCTCATTCCTGACCCCAGACTCCCAGCTAGAGCAGGAAAAAAGGGATAAGGCTTAGAAATTTGGTGTGGGTGTGCCATGGCGGTAACTGGACTTGGAGGGGGGATTCAACCAAGTCCACCAAACGACCCAGACACAGCAAAAGTGTCTCCATTTCAACAAAGCTCAACTGGGAACCATCTTTTACTGAACAGACCCTGATGCAGGAGGAGTCCTGCTCTCCAAATGCCCCCTCTGAGACAGGTAGGTAGTAGGCATGTATAGAGATGTTGAAAGGCTCTGCTAGAGAGAGAGGCAAGGTCTGTGGAAGGCAGAAGGGATGGCTGGGAGGTTTACTTCCTATCCCTGACTCTCAAACTCTGCTGTTGTGAGTCTCTCAGTTCCTCAGTCACCTCACCCCTGAAATGGGATGATTCCTCCACATCTGGAAGATGGTACATTTTCTCTCCTGCCAAGGCCCACAGTAAGAATGGAGCCCAGTTCAACCTCTGCTAACTCCGCCCATGTCTATCCCTTACTCCTCTTCAGTTGGCAGTAACCAGGTCACCCCGGACCCCGTGTACCTGCCAGTGGCCCTGGAACTCCTAGATGCCCCTGAACATTTTCGTGTGCAGCAGATGGACCACTACCCACCTGCTAACTCTTCCCTGGGCTCCCGCTCTGAGACCTTTCTGCTCCTGCAGCCCTGGCCCAGGGCACAGCCACTTCTCCGGGCCTCCTACCCACCTTTTGCCACTCAGCAGGTAAGGATGGGCCCCAGGGATTGCCAAGCAAATGAGACTCATGAGTTCTGCGGTTTTGGGATTCTGGGGCTCTTCTCATTCTTCTACCTAAGCACTAACCAGGCCTGACCCTTGCTTAACTTCTGAAATTAGGCAAGGTTGGGCACATTAGGGCCATGTGGCCACAGATAGCTTTTCCCATTCTCTACACAGGAAGACTGAGGCCCCCAAGCTCCTGTTACGCTGAGATTAGAGGCCTGACATCCCACCTTCCCAGACCTGGCTGGCATGGCATCTGCCTCTCCACCCAGCCCTGCAGTTGAGCATCCTTTTATTCTTTTCCAGGTGGTCCCTCCTAGGGTCACTGAGCCTCACCGACAGCCTGTCCCTTGGGACGTGCGGGCTGTTTCCGTGGAAGCAGCTGTGACTCCAGCAGAGCCTTATGCCCGTGTCCTCTTCCACCTCAAAGGGCAGGATTGGCCTCCAGGACCTGCCAGCTTGCCCTGTGCCCGACTGCATGCCACACACCCTGCAGGCACTGCCCACCAAGCCTGCCGCTTCCAGGTGAGTGAGTTTCTGCTGCTGTGCCATGCAGGAGTGGTGCCAGGGTGGAGAGGAAAGGACTCTGCTGCGGTCTGGGAAGTCTAGGGGCATGAGCCTCCTGACTCCTTTTCGGCTCCTGATAGCACTAGGATTTTAGTCCATGGTGAATGGCTTTGGGGACATAACTTAATGTCTCTGAGGCACAGTTTTTTTTGTGTTTTTTTGTTTGTTTGTTTTTGTTGTTTTGTTTTCTTATCTGTAAAACAGACTAACAACAGTTCCCACCCATAGGGAGCTGGAGAGGAAAATGAGACAAATGTAAGAGTCACCGTAACAGACGTGTTAACCTGTGTGTAGTGATGGAACTTTTGTGGTTTGTTTTGTTTGTTTGTTTGTTTGTTTCAACACAGACTTTCACTGTGCAGCCTTGTCTGTCCTGGACTCGCTTTGCAGAGCACGTTGGCCTCGAACTCACAGCGATGCGGCTGCCTCTGCCTTCCAAGTGCTGGGTTTACAGGTGTGCGCCAACACGCCCGGCTAACTTTCGTCAGTTTTATTTCTACTATTGTGGAGTTGGGCCCAAAAACCCACTGGAGAGAACTGTTTCTTGCTTTGATACTGTGAGCTCTAGGCAGCTCTGGGATCTTGATAAAGATTGTCCCCTTTTGCTACAAGTCTGTTCTAGATAAGAGTGACCTACAGAGTATTCTGAGACCTAGACCTGGTGGGTCCCTTGTTTATTGTGGCACCTGGGAGACATCCTTGGTTCTACCTTTCATAGACCTCTTTAGTAGGCTTTTCTGCCAATGGGTACAAGACT